AGGACGTCAGCTCTGGTGCTCGGCAGGGAGAGGCAGGAGGGGCTGCTATGAGAAGAGGGGATGATCGGGGATGGTTTTTCAGGGGTGCTGGCTGGGGAACACCTGAGCTGCTGAAGAGACCAAAGGCAGAAACATTTATTCCTTATTCTCATCACTGTTGCTTCTTGCTGGCGTTTCAAGTGACTGAGCCGTGCTTCGGACCCCAGCCCGGGTGGGGCCCTCTGCCCAGGAGGGCCACCAGCCCCTGGTACTGCTGCGGGAGCTGCCTCTGAGCACCACAGCCCCACAGAGATCGTAAAAAAAAAAAAAAAGGCAGTAAATAAATAAAATTTTAAAAACCCAAATGTCACATCCCCGCGGGACCTGCCTGAGGACAGGGAGGACGCTACCCTGCATCTTCTTGACATCCACGATGTTTTGGGCATATCTGGGGAGCACAAAGCCCAGCTGGAGATGCTCTCCCCAGGTCTTTGAAGAGCCACCCCACTGACATGCAGGTCCTCACGGTGTTTGGAGCCCCGGTAAATTCCGGCAGCATGGACAGGACCCCGGCAGAGAACGGGCAGCAGATGGGACATCACGCAGGAGGAATGTCCTATTTACACACTGGTGTTTTAAAGGGCTTGCATGGCGTCCCTGACCTCCCCGCCTCACCGCTGTTCCTCAGACATTCCTGGGCTGCTTGCTGGAGCTTTTTAATGAAGCAACCAACCTTGGGAGGGAGGTACCCCCAGGGAGGCTGAAGGCATCTATCAAATGGCAAGGAACCCAAGGGATGCCTTGCTGAGGACACCAGCGCCCAGCTCCTGCCCAGGAACCTCCACACCTTTATTTTGCTCAACGCACCCAACACCCAGCCAGCTTTCAGAGGAGATGGGGTACGTCCACGTGCCTGGGCAAGGTGTCACTTTCGTGGGTGGGCCAGGGAGACAACCGCTGTGAGCACCCAGGGCTTGCGTCTGATCTCATGGATGCAAGTTCTAGATTTCTTAAAAGAACACCCCGTTATGCCCCAGACAAAAGCAGAAGCCCGTCCCTGTATGCAACCACATCTCCTACTGCTTTCGAGGAGCACCCACAGGACAGTGGCTCCACCGACCCGGCCAGGGAGGAACCCCAAGCCCTCTCCGCCAGCGAGAAGCCCCGGCTGGTGTGCATCTGCCTTTGGAGATGAGAGGGGAGGGCAGGATCCATCCCTGGGCGCTGGAGCCCCAGGCAACAAGGGAGGATGCTTGGAGACCTTCAGAAAGACAGCTGCTGGAGATCAGACTTGGGGCCACCTCCTTTTCCCCCGTGGGGTCAGGGACGGCTGCCAGGCGTTTCCTACCCCTCCCCGGGCATCTGCCTGGCCTGGAGCATCGCTCGCACCCAGGAGCAGGAGAACTTCCGCCTGGGATGCTCCACTCGGGGCTTCCCTGGGCAGAAGGGGGTCCCGGGAGCTCCTGCCAGCCCTGGCATCAAGCACACTCACCCATGGGGGTGCACCCAAAAGCCAGCTTTGCCCCTGCTTGCTGGGTGTGCTCGTTGCGTGGGATGAGATAGAGAACCTTCCTGGGGAGCTCACACGCTGCACGATGCCATGGGGATGGGCTGGACCAGGGGCACAGGGGCTGCATCCCACCCTGGCAGGGCAGAACGGGGAGAGGGGACACGCCGGGGCTTTGGGGAGGACATCGGTCCGTGCTTGCCGGGCACTGGGATGGAGCTCTCCGGTGGCTCCAGGCTCCTCGCGTGGAGCGGAGCTCTTACCTTGCGGTGGAGCAGCTGGGTCTGCGGCCCTCCATTGCCTTCGACCTCATAGCGGACGCTGTTGAAGAGCGCTACGCCGTACTGCTCCTTGTAGCACCGGCAAAACTCCCCCAGCACCTTCCCCGTCTTCTCTGCAAGGGGAGAGCAGAGCCGAGTTAGGCAGGGGCTGCATTCGGGGGTCTCCTTGCCGCAGCCCCCCCCGGCACCCAGCTCAGACACCTTTCCCCTGCCCTCCCCACCCACCCAACACCTCCCGTCGCCCTCCCACCCGCCGGAGAAGGCTTTGGTGCAGGGCCACCGCTGAGCCCGCTGCCCTCTGCCCTCCCGTCCAGCTCAGGGACCAATTTGGGGTCAGCACCATCTTTTTTTGGCTTTTCATGTTAATGCCACGGATTCCTCTCCCCGGCAGGAAATTCCTGACATTAAGCTGATTCCGGCGATGCCGACGGCTTCCTGCGCCTTGTGCAGCTCCCCAGTCCCGCTCTGACCACCTCGGCTGGCTGAGATTGGGGGCCAACCCCCCTGCTCAGCCCCAAGCATCGCTCACCCCCCCAGACCCTGCTGTGCCCCCATAAGGGGCATCCTACGGAGGGGCTGGGTGGCTGCAGGCTCTGCAGCGGCGATGCTCAGGGCCAGGCATGCAGCGGGGAGACTGAAAGGGGAAAGGACAGACCGACCCCCACTGCAGTCCCCAGGTCACTCCCGCCCCGTGCGAGGCAGGGACCCCCACCACGACCCCCGCCTCCAGACCAGGGTGAGCCTGGGGTGCTGGGACAGCTTGAGCTGCTGGGTGTCCCCCTGCACCCCATACTGGAGGAGATCCCCTCCATCCCTCAGGCAGTCCCGATGCAGCCCCCTTCCCCGGCAGCCCCCCTGCCCCTTGATGCACGGGGGGGACATTGCAAACCCACCCCCCAGCAGCAGGGACGGGCGCGGGCGTGGCAGCCACGGGAACCCCGTGCTCCTCCCAGGGCATCGGTCACGGCCGGGGAGCAGGGCTGTCCCCGCACCCCTGCCCTCTCCCCTCTCCATCCCGGCTCCAGACCCCACGTGGGGCTCCTACCCCAAAAACCCCAGCACAAAGCGTCACAGGTCCAGGGAGACAGCTTCCCCAGAGCTGCCTTTGGCACGCAGGACCTCTACTTTGAATTTGGCTCTCAACTTTGCCCCAGAGACTCTGAAAAGGAAAGAATTTGAGTCGCCTCCAACTATTTCCGAGGGCTCAGCCTCTGCCAAGCGCTGGCGATGGGCGCGCGGAGGAACGATGCTGTCTCGGCATCCCCGGTGCGGGAGCCAGCGCGACGCTGGGGGCACGGACCCAGACCAAACAGACCCTCGCGCTGGCCCCAA